TGTTACATCAAAGCCTACCTAAACTATTGGAGGAAAAAAATCTTGGGACTGACAACAATGAAGATATTTATAGATGACGCGCAAGATACTTCCTGATCTTGGTGACAGCACATATTTTCAAGAGGAAAACCTTGGATTAACCTCGGAATGTCACCGAACCTCGAAGTGAATCAAGGTTAACAAAAAAATTGGTATCCAATTTCGCCCCATGACTGCCGAGCCACAGTGAAACGAAAGAAAATTGGTTAGTTGCCGCGAATCTCAATTACCTAAGCGAGCCGAGCCACAGTATCCATGCAAGTGCTAGTCTCTTTAAAGTTAGCATACCCCTTTTTCAACGTCATGTAAGTTTATGCATGGAATATCAGAGACGAACTACCGCATGTTTCCAGGAAATTCGCATTTTCTTTTGCAATTATACGAGATTTTGATCATCTCTTCTGCATGGGGATCCTATAGGTGACAATGCTTTACTAGGTAGAAACAGAGCACCGACATGTATATAAGCTTCACCGCGTTCACTCTCTTTTCTTAATTTGCTCTTTTTCTCCTAATTGCTAACGAATAATTCACGAATCGATATATTTAAACGTCTCTTCTTCTCGATATTCACTACATCTACCTACTATCCTCTCAACTTTTCGATCTTCGATATATCAAAATCAATACCTTCATCATGCGTGTTCAAGTTCTTCCAGTTATCGCCCTCCTTTCCCTTGGTGTTTCGGCACAAGATCTCGGTAGCATCGTCAACTCAATAACCTCAGATGTCGGCGGAGCAGTAAGCACAGCTACATCTGCCATTGGTGGAGCCGCTGATACTGTCACTTCTGGAGCCGCTGGAGTCTTTTCGACCGTCACCTCAGGAGCAGCAGGCGCTTTCTCAACTGTAACTTCAGGGGCTGCCGGCGTTGTTTCAACTATCACCTCAGGTGCCGGTGGAGTCGCTTCTACTGTTACATCAGGAGCTGCTGGCGCATTCAGCACCGCAACTTCTGGAGCCGCTGGAGCCTTCTCTACAGCAACCTCCGACGCCGTTGGCGCATTTTCCACAGTTACCTCTGCTGCCGCCTCCCGATACTCGAGCATCAAGAGTGAAGCCAGTAGCGAAATCTCTAGCTTGAGCTCCGTCGCCCAGACTGCCACCGACAGTGCCGTTAAGAGTTCGATCAGCGCGGCCATGAGCAGTATCAGCAGCGACGTCGCCAGCGCCAGTTCCGAAGTGAGAAGTGCCACTAGCAAAGCTAGCGGTGCTCTTAGTTCCGCCACTAAGAGTGCCGCCAGCGCTACTTCTAGCTCGGGAGCTATGAGAACACAAGTGCCAATGGCTGGAGGAGCTATTTTGGGTGCGGCTTTATACTTGTTGTAGATTGATGGCGGATATAATGAGCGAGAGGAATTGAATGTGTTATGTTCGGAAATGCTAAGGGTGTTTTGATACGGCGTTGATTAATTGTATAACATCTCTTTTCACGAATAAAATATATATCTTTGGGGCTTCATCCCTTTTATGAACTTTTTTCCTAATTGTTGATTGCAATCTATGTTCTAATTTTCATATTCTCAGGCTTCTTTTTGAAGGATGTTAAGGCCAAATTTCAAATTACACCAAAATTTATTATGGGAGTTCGTATACCAAAGATAATCTTCGATAAATGTTGAATAAATTTGATCAAAGGTAATTGTGTAATCCTGAAGTTGATTATCTATTGATCATTATATAGAATATCTTCGAATGTATCTCTAATTGAAATGATATTTAATATTGAAAATAGTGAGGTTTGAATAATTTTGGTGAGCAAATTCGGTAATAAACGTCAAGCCTGCCTGAGTATATGCTACTTCAATACTGAGAACTGCTAAACCGTGCCCCGTTTATACAATGGAGTGTAAATAAATTGTAATCCTACATAGAAGAACTTAAATGCTGGAGGCAGATTTATGAAGCTTTCTCGTTGTGGTTCTCGATGCTCAGGCTCTAGGTCTGGGATGCATGTAAATTCAGATATCCGAGTCCATTTAGATATTCAAAACAATCCCGATGTTCAATTCAATATTGGGCATATGCGTCGCATTGTTCTAGAAACTTGATTGCTTTTGATATCTCTTGGTGAGCTCTTTTCTAGACCTATGTGATTTTCCGGTGACCTACAATTCTTCCTCGGGCTTACGAAAACCCGCAGTCCTGAATCAGCTACTTTGAATTCCTTCCATAATCTCTAACAAGCTGCTAGTTCTAGAATGCTTCGGCATAATTTCGATATGATTGTCAAAGGTACAATTGTTTATATTATTATGTATTGTGTGTAGCTAATGGTCTATGGAAAGTGAGCGAGGTTAAGAGGGTTAGCTCACCAAGTCAGTACTAGCGCAACATATGTTTCTAACAACATCCATATAACCAAAAAGCCGAAACAAAACAGAAGGACAAATAATTAAGGAATGATTCACTTGATATGAACCTTCAAACGGGACTTCGCATATATTTGAGCTTTTTCTTTACAAACTCCAGAGTATATTGCAACCACACTGTCTAAAACACCCGCAACATTTCACAGAAAATTTGAAACCTTAAATCAATAATCCCATAGCTCCAACAACCATAGCTCCCCAAACCGGAACATACTTCTCTGGAGAATCTCCAGAAGCCGCAGTAGCACTAGCCGCGGCACTAGCAACACTACTGGCGCTTGCAAATTTCGAGCTTAAGCTACTAGCGCTCTCCAAAGCCTCGGTTTGTGCCTTTCCTGTAGCCGTACTTGCCATGCTTTCCAAACTACTGATCTCAGCACTGATGCTCGTAGCTTGTGCTTGAGCAGACGTCGCAATCTTAGATTGGGAGCTCAATGATGCGGCGTTGGATGTAGAAGCTTGAGAGATGGATTTGGAAAGGGATTTGGAGATTGAAGAGACGGCTTCAGAGAGTGAGGATGCTTCAGATGAGAGGGAGGATAGTGCGGAGCCGGTGGCGGTGGCTTCCATGGAAGTGACAGAGGATAGAGAGGATATTGCTGTAGAAAGGGCGTCTTGAGTAGCCTGGGCTTGGGCATAGTCTGATGTGATAGTATTTACGGCGCCAGAAGCCTTTTCCCCGATGGATGTTCCATCAGCGATGACTGATCCGAGATCAGCAAATGCTGTGGCGGCGAGGAGTGAGAGGAGTGTGATGGTGTTTGGAAATTGCATGGTTGGTTTTATATTGGGTTTGTGGAATGTGAAGTTTTGTTCATGGAAAGTGATTCGATTGAAACTAGTTAATACTATTCTTTAATAGCTGTGGATTTTATAGGGAAAGGCTTTATCGCATGTATGGGGATCTCCAGATTTATAGATTTCTAATTCGAGAACGATGATAGCACGAAAGCAGGAGGATCAAACGACTGAGCCACGAAGCTTGTAACAGCAACACTTGTACCTGCATCTGAACCGTACTGTTACTCTGTGAAAAGAAGCTTTCCTCCCTAACACCCATGTCAAAGAAATTGCTACGCCATTGATGGAATCCTATTCCAACAATTGCTAGGCGCCCTCTGCGGTCACGATTTAAGGCGGGCCCGCCCCCATTATGACATAGCATAAACTTTCTCTTGATTGACACATCTAAAACCCTAGAAAGCAATGTTGAAACATGTTTGTTCACTTGAAATCCTTCACTAAAAAGGAAGTTGCAAACCGACAAAGGATCTCTCTACTCCTCGAGGAGTGTTGTTTCATTGTTCTGTTCATTTATTTCTAGAACAAATTATGTCTCGCGCGGCTATTAAACTTTCCTAGCCACGGTCGCCATCGAAGCCTATGAGGTATTTGATTCTGCATTGATTATCTTTCACAAGCATATGTTCATGCTTTTCTGATGTCTCGTCGTTAGGATACCATGTCCCATGAGCCATTCAAACACTGTCGCTTTCTTATCTAAATTTCATGGAGAAACTCCTTTAGATTCTGATTGGATTCTATCAGTAATCGAATTCATGTCTAATGAATTTGAGTGCACTTTCTCCAGGACATTATTTGAGTTCGATCGACCCGGGTACTTTGAATAGTCTAGCATAAAATGAGACGCTTGGAGACAATCATGGCCAGTTAATAAATGGCCAGTGTCAATAAATAGATTCGGGATAGTATTGCGACGACATAATTCGGGCTTAAACTTAAGTTTACTCTGAATTTCTTCCTGTGGGCGCAACCGAAGGATTTAGGTCTCTAAACACCAACACAACACAGAATGAAACGCACCGACGGGTACACCGAAGGCAATATCAGGTCACCAAAAATATCGAATTATTTTCCTAGTAGACAGTAGGCGATAATGATATTGGAACTTGGAAGGATGAAGGAAGTTGTAACTTCGAGACGATTTGCTGGAAAGGTAACGCGGGGTCGATAATTATTTGATGATAGAAATCCTTCATTGATGCTTCGAAATCATCACACCATACTATATGGCCGTTTACCCAGATAAAGTCTCGAATACTTTCCATATTATTACTCATGAGTGCCAGTATAGCCTTCTGTCTTACTCACTTAAGTTTTTAAAGGAAGACGTCTGTGTATCTTTGAATAGTTACCAAGAGTACAAGAAGCTCCTTTATCTTACCCGTGGAAAGTTTGTCGCGAGATAGATTGTTCACCTCCATTACGGTAGCGAAGTATCTGCTATCACAGCTTTCAAAAAAAATGCATGAGAACATACTCCGCGGAGGCTAGTTGCCATTTATTGTTCATCGGCCGGCTTACCGGCTGAATGCTTAACAAGACATTCAACATTAAACTTTTTCATTAGACATGCCCTATAAATGCCCATAATCGTATTGGCGACACCTATAGGCTTATCATCTCAGTGAGAAAGAGAATGAGAACGAGAATGTTGCCTGCGACACCCGTCTAGAGGGTGGATGGGCGTACGACACTGACAAAGCAAGGTTGGGAAAAGTAAGTCCTGTAAGATTATTGAGAAAATATCTTAACATCGATGGTGAATAGATATACTAATATGTTTATCAATTCGCCTTATGTATTCGATCTTCTTGATAATTCCATTGTACGCGATCGTACATAGCGTTGAATTCCCAAGTGATTTCTGATACTCTTCGCTTATGCAATTGTGTATTTGATACATCATAAGCAATTTGTACAATCTCGGGTCTCAACTCCATCCTCCTTTGATTTTTGGCGATTGTTATCTTTTTGACTTGTGATAGCTCATGACTCCACCCTGCGAACACACATGATTTGATTGTAATAATTTCCAAGTCGATGATCCATTCATCCACTTCGAAATGATACGTTTGGCCCATTTCAGTCAATTGCCCGAGTAGCTCAGGATAGCTGCCATCCAATGAAAGAAAAGAAGACCGGTGACTTCTTGGGGGTGACAGTATCTTGTCGAAACTGTGGTCCTAGAAACATGAATTGATTGAAGCCTCTTGTCTAGCAGCAATCGACGTCCAAACTCGCCATGATTCTCGCCACCTCCGAGAGTCTCTTCCAGAGACAGGTATCCAAAGCCATCTCAACCCGCTGAGGAGATCCAAATTGATTTCGAAGACGCCACAGTTGTGGATGATATAATACCGAAACATTTTAACTGCTGCTCGGATTTCTGCAACCAGAATTAGCTAATGGTTTATATTCTTTGGATGACCAAGATACTACAAAACAACCACAAAGACCAACTATATATCCGTTGTCCAAAGGACTGTATTCAACGCAATCGAAAGAAACTCCTGACTTCGTTGGTGCTGGGGGCATAAATTCGCTTGTCCGATTCAGATCTGTGATGAACCAAATTTCCTGCTAAGCATGTACCCAATACACAATTTTAGATATACTTACTTGCAAATGGTAGACTACAGAGTTAATATTATAGACCATAATTCTGCCAAGATATTCAAATTCCTGAAGGAAAAACGATAGTGAAGCAGTATCATAATCAGAGCCCCATGTGCTTCGTATACCTGTATTGTAGATAAATTCGATACCCCTGATACCAGCGCAGAACCCTAGCGGAGAATATACTCAAATTGCGACAAGATTGCCATTCTCTGGTTTAATATATAGGTCTGATGCTGGGGCAAACGAATTGTTTTGTAAATCGTGCAGAGCAATAATGTCATCGTCCAGCATCGAAGGTATAATTGACGGGTATGGGTGTTTCCAGAGAATGCTAACGAGAACAGTTTAGTTTTTTTTTAAGTTTGGCCAGATTTTAACAATTCGAAGAGCCTATGGATATTATTGAATGGTCTGTATTAGGATAGTGTACTCATCTTACATCAAGACCAACAAAAATGCGCGTAAGGTGTTCTAGACTCCACTTGCTCACGCCAAGCTCGTCTATGCTATCGAGAAATGAATGCGGATAAATATCGATTCCAACTGGTTCAATACCCAACGAACTAGCAACCAGCTATGGAGTTTTAGGCGAAGTTGAAGCTATCATGTGATTATATTGTCTTACAATGTAGTCTATGTTCATAGGCTGGCTGTGGCTAAATGTAAATGTGAGGCCCGAGACCACCCGCCGCTCCAGAATATCCACATACAATGGTGTCACAGTACAAAGTTGTGATTCAACATGCATCTTCCCCCAATGCATAGACCTCTGTGTGACTTGTTTACAACCCTTTAGGTCTCTTTTCAACGCCAAACAACTTACAATAGAGCAGAGCCGTTGACTTGGGACATCTGTGACAATGTCACCATGTAAGAATCGTCCAGGCTCTTGAATGGCTTGCATCCGGCTGACCATCTCAATCCCTAGTTTCCAAATTCGCTCGCGGTTTATGAGCCCCATCCCATGATCAGAGCTCATCTCAGATTTGACTTCGAAAAACCGTTCTTTCCAGGTACAATCAGGCAAACACAGCGCTCATTTAAAGCTCAATTCGCTATGGACTCGAAATTTAGACTCCCAAAATGTTGATGGTTAAGAACGAATATCTCGTTTATAAGCTTGTAGCAAATTTAAGGTGTTGCTAAATGAGAGTTTGTACATAACAGAATGAATTGTTTTAGTCAGTAACGATGAAAGTCTAGAACAAGGAGGGAATGTTGCGTCTTTTTGGAATTCAAGAGGTAAACTTTCTACTGGGATAGACGAGTTTTCTGTATGATATTCAACTAAGTTTGACTGATAATGCGCTTGATGTTCATCTTCTGACCGTGTATCCAAGACGGAGGGGGTATATTCAAGATATTCGAAGTTGAGAGATGCCGGATCCTGTGAGAGCCGTGAAGTGTAACAACTAACTAAACGGAAGCGTAGACTGACGATATCAGTTTCCTGGTATGGATTTGGTTGAGGGAAAGGGATAGCACGCGACCACCCTTGATTCACACGCGGGTAGTCAATTATCATGTGTTGGATTAGACTTAGTTCCTGTTTGTCTAAAGCCCCCAAGATATCTCGGATAGTAAAGGAAACGAAGTTGATTCTCATGACCAGTATGTAAGTCTTGAATGTTTTTCGCTTCCGGTTCTGTCAAATCCAGACTCATTATAAGGGCATTAAGAATGGCGTTAGCTGTCTCATTCGGCTTCCAGAAAAGATCCGTAGTATCTTTATGGAATCCAGGGAGAACTTTCTCTGGGAGTAAAATATTGTACTGAACTCTATTCTCCTCATTATCTATTTCGTAGCTTTCCTATAGTTTCGAACCAATCGACATCATTAGTATGACTATTGATTAACAATCACAACGAACAAGTGCCTTGTACTCCGACGGACATAAATACTCTTCCTTTTCCAATCAATTATCTGTCTCTGTCGCAATCTTAGCTGGAAAGAACTAAACAAAATCTTCTAGATGATCTAGACGTCAAGTTCGATTCAAGGGTATTTCAATAGGAACCATGGACTGATTCCATTGTTTAGTTCTGGAGATTTGCTCCACTTCATAAGCCTACAGCCCTGTGCCTCATATTGTGACAAAGTTAGTACTAACACTGTTATGCAGTTATATCCAAGTAGGCAGGTGAACTGGGCTAAACTTAAAAAGCCTCGAATCAAAAATTTCCTGCGCTGATAGACTGCTACCAGATTCAGAACACTGCATGAGCATGTATCGATACCATTTATTAGAGTGAAAGCCTGTACACGGGTTGAATCCTGTCCAGAAGCTAATCGTAGGGTGAGGAGATAGGCATACCTGAGATTGTTGACAAGTAGGTATTTATGATATCCACAAGTAGTCAGTCTTTGTCCTTTTGAGAATAGAAACTATGCGTGTAGTTGTAGTATATATTCTGGACCCTAAAGCATAGTCTAACCCAGAATAAGAACATATAAGTCATATAATTTATCATCCCGAAGTACTATTTTACATTCTGAAGACGCCGAATTTGGTATCTACCGGTTCATTCTTCCCGCCCAATGCAGCCATCAAACTCAAACCTAAAACTCTTCTCGTATGACTTGGTGGAATAACTCCATCGTCCTAGATTATTTGTTAGTCACCTCAATTCCATTTCGTTCATGGAAGAGAACATACCCATAATCTAGCACTTGAGAAAACCGCCTCACTCTCTCTATCAATTCTATCTCTGAGCTCTGGATCAACAGCCTTTCCAACAGTCTCCATGACAGCCGTCAATTGTTCACTTCCCATTACTCCAATCCGTGCATTAGGCCACATCCATAAGAATCGAGGACTATATGCCCGACCACACATACCATAATTACCAGCACCATTACTGGCACCAACTACAACGGTAAACTTGGGTACATTGGCGCAGGCAACTGCAGTAACTAATTTTGCTCCATTTTTTGCAATACCCTCGCGTTCAGCATCAGTACCTACCATGAATCCGCTTATATTTTGCAGGAAAATGAGAGGGATTTTGCGTTGAGTGCAAAGCTCAATGAAATGGGCGCCTTTGAGGGAGGAGGCAGAGAAGAGAATACCGTTGTTCGCTATGATACCGACTTTGTGACCGTAGATATGTGCAAAACCTGTCACGAGGGTGGAGCCATAGTCGCGTTTAAATTCGGAAAAGACACTCCCATCTACAATGCGAGCGATAACCTCATGGATGGGGAGAGGTTTGCGGTGATTAGTTGTAGCAATTCCAGTCAGTTCTTCGGGAGAATAGAGGGGTTCAGTGTAGGATTCTGAGGATGGAAATGGTTTCGTGGGCCAATTGAGATTGCTAACGGATCGGCGGGCAAGAACTATGGCGTGAGCATCATCGACGGCGAGATAATCTGTTACTCCAGATACGGAGCTGTGCATATTTCCACCTCCCAGTTCTTCAGCTGTTACAACTTCTCCAGTTGCGGCTTTTACTAGAGGTGGACCAGCTAGGAAAATGTGGCCTTGTTCACCTACGATGATACTCTCATCAGACATGGCGGGAACATAGGCACCCCCTGCTGTGCAAGGACCCATGACCACAGCTATTTGTGGAATTCCCATTGAACTCATTCTTGCTTGATTGAAGAAAATTCGACCAAAATGCTCTCGATCTGGGAAGACATCTGCCTGATGTGGAAGATTGGCTCCACCCGAATCTACCAGATAGACACAACTGTAAAATATCAGTATCTAAAAAGCGTGTACATCAATTGAACGGAAACTCACGGTAAATTGTTTTCCTTCGCAATCTCTTGTGCTCTCAAATGTTTCTTCACAGTAATTGGATAATATGTTCCTCCTTTCACGGTACTATCATTTGCAACCACCATGCACGTTACTCCCTCAATGACACCTACCCCCGTAATAATCCCACCAGCAGGTACATCCGCCTCAGGATAAAGCTCATGACCTGCCAATGCACTCAATTCTAAGAATGAAGTACCTGGATCTATGAGTGCAGTGATACGATCTCTAGGAAGCATCTTTTTGCGTGCAATATGCTTTTCACGTGCTTTGGGAGGGCCACCTTGATGTATTTTGGCGGTGAGAGTAGAGAGGTGATCAAGAAGAGGTTTCATTTGAGACTCATTCTGAGTATATTCCTCTGAAGAGGTATCGACATTTGTCGGAAGAACGGAGATGGCTTTTGCTTGGGTTGGAGGACAATAAGTAGCAATTGTTCGAGAAGGAATGGAGCTTGCTTTGTGATATATTGGTCGTAAGGATTTCCTAGAGAGATTGGCCAGAATTCTGGATGCTCTGAGTGAAGCCATTGTCATAGAAGTTGTGCTGTAGTGACAGCAAAAAAGTGAGATATTCACATGGACATTTAAACATTTGTTTCGAGACAAGATCTCAAAAGCCGAAGCGGGAATAGGCTCGTCGGCTAGATGCGGCCCCGCGTTTCCCCGGAAAACCACGGTCCAAGCTAGCTAGGAAGGGTTTACAATTATTGTGTACATCTACAAAACCTAAACAGTGTAGGAAACATACTCTCTCAATTCTTACAACATTTTCACAGAACAAAAATGGCTTCCTCAATAAAATGTCTTCGATCGCTCACTACTCGACCTATATCTCATCTCCACATCAAACCTTCCATCCCCATATCCACAATCCGTCGACGTAATGCATCATCCAAGCACCCCGCTGGTTTCGAGCCACCAACCTCCTCTGATCTGATTGAGCTCCGCGAACGAGTCCAAGAATTCACACGACGGGAAATCCCTGAAACGCTCGCAGCTGAAACCGATAAATCGAATGCATTTCCCAATGCCATGTGGCAAAAATTCGGCGATGCAGGGTTCCTTGGTATAACTGCTTCTGAAGATGTGGGTGGACTGGCTATGGGTTACCAAGCACATTGTATTGTGATGGAAGAAATATCTCGTGCCTCGGGTAGTATTGGATTGAGTTATGCTGCACATTCACAATTGTGTGTGAATCAATTACAATTGAATGGTAATCAGGACCAGAAGATGAAGTATATGCCGGGGTTGATTGATGGGAGTAAGATTGGTGCATTGGCTATGAGCGAGAGTGGCGCAGGGAGTGATGTTGTCAGTATGAGGACGACAGCAAAGAAAGTAGATGGTGGCTATGTGTTGGATGGGACGAAGATGTGGATTACCAATGGACCAGATGCAGATGTTATTGTGGTTTATGCGAAGACTGAGCCTGAGAAGGGCTCGAAGGGAATTACGGCCTTCTTAGTCGAAAAAGGATTTAAGGGATTCAGTTGTGCGAGAAAATTAGACAAGATGGGTATGAGAGGAAGTAATACTGGAGAATTAGTTTTCGAGGGGGTATTTGTGCCCGAAGAAAATATCTTGGGCGAGGTCAACAGAGGAGTCAAGGTACTGATGGAAGGACTTGACATTGAGAGATTAGTGTTAAGTGCTGGACCATTAGGTATCATGCAAGCTGCTTTGGATGTTGCACTTCCATTCACACATCAACGCAAGCAATTCGGTCAACCTATCGCACACAATCAACTCGTCCAAGGAAAACTTGCAGATATGTATACAAAGCTACAAGCTTCGAGAGCTTATACATATGATACAGCAAGGACTGTTGATGAAACAGGCAATATCAGGACACAAGACTGCGCTGGAGCCATTATGTATGCTGCTGAGCGAGCCACGGAAGTCTCATTAGATTGTATACAATTGTTGGGTGGCATGGGTTATGTTGAGGAAATGCCTGCTTCGAGATTACTGCGTGATGCAAAGCTCTATGAAATTGGTGCTGGAACTACCGAAGTCAGAAAAGTGGTGATAGGCAGAGCTTTCAACAAAGAATATAGTGGGTTTAGTGCATAAAGAGGGAGCGTGTTTGTTAGATTGAGCATAGCGATGGGCTTCGTGTCACATGTAGTATACCGCAGCAATGATTAGAGTTCTTTTTTCTTCATCGATCGACCCCACGTGAATTTACTCGATACGAAATCTTGTCTAGT